TCTTTTTGCTTATGTGATGCTGAGGAATGGAACCCAGGGCCTCAGGCATGCAAGGCAAGTGCTCTACCACTGAGCCACCTTCCCAGCCCCCATAGTGTGATTTTTCATCGCTAATTTTGATCTTCTCTTGCAAAGTAACTCCAAAGGCACACTGTGTTCCTAATTGCTTCATAGTTTGTGATTTCTCTTCCTTTTTCTTTGCCTTTTTCAGATATTGTGTATTTGTTATAGAAAAAGTTTTCTTCAAATATGGATGGGGTATCTTCGGTGGCTACTGAAGAAAGGTAAGTTGATTCAGAGCAGATGAAGATGTTATGCTCTATTATTAGGGTGTTTTAGACCAGGCAGGAAGGAGCTCTTGGGGTGATTATTAGTCTCCATGCTACCTGGTGTTTTTTTTCTTTGGTTTTTGAGTCAGTCCTGAGGCTTGAACTCAGGGCCTGAGTGTTGTCCTTGAGCTTCTTTTACTCAAATCTAATGCTCTACCACTTCCAGCTTCTTGTGGTTAATTGGAGCTAACAATCTCAGGGACTTTCCTGCCTGGGCTGACTTTGAACCTCCATCCTCAGATCTCAGCCTCCTAAGTAGGATTACAGACATAAACCATTGGCTGCCACTACCTTTTTCTTTTTCTCTTTCTTTCTTTCTATGTTTCTTTCTTTCTTTCTCTCTCTCTTTCTTTCTTTCTTTTTCTCTTTTGTCAGTCATGGAGCTTGAACCCTGGGCTTGGACACTGTCCCTGCCCTCTTCAGCTCGAAGCAAGCACTCTGCCACTTGAGCCACAGTGCCACTTCTGGTTTTCTGGTGGTTAATGGGAGATAAGAGTCTCAGACTCTCCTGCTTAGCCTGGCTTGGCTTGAACCTCCATCCTCAAATCTCAGCCTCCTGAGTAGCTAGGGTTACAGGCTTGAACTACCTGCATCAGGCTTCTGATTGTTATTTTAAAAGATAGTTTTATATACAATGTCTTCTTTTGGGGGGGTAGGGGGAAAGGGGATCAGTCCTGGGCTTAAGCTCAGGTCTTTGAGCTGTTTTGCTCAAGGCTAGTGCTCTATCAACTTAGAACTACAGCACCACTTCCAGTTTTCTGGTGGTTAATTGGGGATTCGAATCTCATGGACTTTCCAGCCTGGGCTGGCTTTCAACCACAATCCTCAAATCTCAGCCTCCTGAGTAGCTAGGATTACAAGCATGAGCTGCCCAGCTTCTAAATACTGAATTTTTATTTTTATTTTTTGCCAGTCCTGGGCTGATCTCTGGGTCTGGGCATTGTCTCTGAGCTTTTTTCTTCAAGGCTAGCACTCTACCACTTGAGCCACAGCCCCACTTCTGGCTTTTTATCTTTATTTGGTACTGAGGAATGGAACCCAGGGCTTCATGCATGCGAGGCAAGCACTCTACCACTAAAGCTACATTCCTGGCCTGTTAAATACTATAATATAAATTTTGCTAGCTAGAATGCTAAATTAAAGTGATGTACTGTGTAGAAGTGTGTAAGGAATGATGGGATGAGAGCTTCTAGAAAGCAGTTTATTTATGTAACATTGTTTTTCTCCTTTTTTTAGAGACAATATGGAGAGATCTGTTAGAAGACGTCATTCCTCAGTAAGAAGCTCTTAAACTAATAATTGTTGCATTTTATCGAACAACTCTATGCTGTAATTTTGTTGTTGTTGTTGTTGTTATTGGTTGTGGGGCCTGAACTCTGGGCCTAGGCACTGTCCCTCAGCTCTTCAGCTCAAGGCTAGTGCTCTACCACTTGAGCTTTTTCTGTTTATGTGGTGTTGAGGAATTGAACCCAGGGCCTTCTGCATGCAAGGCAAGCACTTTACCACTGAGCCACCTTCCCAGCTCCTGTAGTAATTTTAACTGTGGTATTACTTTCCCATCCCCACTGGCTTCTTGTTGTTCTCAGAATAAAAACAAGGGCTGGGAAGGTGGCTCAGTGGTAGAGCGCTTGCCTTGCATGTATGAGGCCCTGGGTTCTATTCCTCAGTACCACATAAGCAGAAAAAAAAAAAAAGCTGGAAGTGGCACTATGGCTCAAGTGGTAGAATGCTAGCCTTGAGCTGAAGAGCTGAGGGATAGCACTCAGGCCCAGAGTTCAGGCCCTATGACCAGAACCAAAAAAAAAAAAAAAAAGAATAAAAACAAATATTTAACCTAGTTGCACAATTAATTACAATTCATGCTTTACAAATTTTAATTAATTTTTAGTATGTATTATACAAAATAATAGGTTTCATGTGACAGTTCTGTGTATGCTAAATTAATGAATTTTATGCTACATAAATTATACATTGTTTATTGCAAATGTTTAAAATACATTTAAAATATTTTGCAGCTTAAGGATATATTTGCTGGACTGGTATAATGGCATACACCAGCTCTTAGGAGTGTGAGACAGGAGAGTTTTAAGTTTAAGGCCAGCCTTGGCTGTTTGAATGATTCTCTATCTCAACAGACAAATTTGCCAGGCCTTTTGACATACACTTACAATCAAAGCGTAGAAATCCAACTCCAGTGATTAAACACAAAATGTAAGTCGAATTGTAGGCAAAACTCAGTGACCAGGGAATGCGATGGTGTCACTCTACTAGGATTTCCATTCTCTTTTTTATTCTGTTTGTTGCTTTTGAACTGTTTTTGCTAGCAGGCAGACTCTCTCCTGTGATTCCTTTGTACATTTAGCTCTCCTTACTTTCAGGTTCCAGTTCTATTTAGGGAGTATTCTATTTAGGAATATTCATTTCCTCAAGTGAGAAAAACAGAGGACTCAGAACTGAATCGTGGAAGCACTTTGATCCTGTTCAGATTAAGTTTTCATTCCTGAGCCAATCATTATTAGATTGCATGAGATGAGTTTGTGCAAATAAAAATCTGGGATTGTGGACTGGGAGAAGGAATTGACAGCAAGTATTTAAACTTTTTACTTTTTACTCTGAGCAATATGACTTTGAGGAGTTCAACATTGTCATGGAAATTTTAGCTGTCCACTTAGTTTATAACTGGAAATAAGCATATTATTAATAGCAATGATAGATTTTCCTGACTAATCCTATTGCCTCTAGATTTTGAAACCCCCAAGGAGTCCTCTTCAGGATATCAGAAGTGGGAATGAAATAGTTCAGGTAAGTGTCTAGTAGTGCAAATGCTGAATAGATTACAATTTTCCATGACTTTTTTATTACTTATTTTATTAGCATATCTTGTACAATTGTAGTTATACAAGAGGGTTTCACTGTGATGTTTCCATATACACGTGCCATATATCACTATCAAACTCACGCCCTCTATTACTTTCCCTTGTCTTCATCTCCCTCTGTAAAACAATTTCAACATTGTTCAGTGTTCTCTTTTCATATGTACCTGGACCTCCTGTCCCCCAACAAAGACTGATTTACTTATTTTTTGGGGGGCAGTTGTAGGGCTTGAACTCAGGGACTGGCTGTTTTCATTGAGCTTTTCTGCTCAAGAGTAGTGCTCTGCCACTTTGAGCCATAGCTCCACTTCTGGTTTTTGAGTGGTTAATTGGAGATGAGATTCTCATAATGACTTTTTTGCCTGGGCTTTGAACTGGGATCCTTAGATCTCAGCCTTTTGAGTAGCTAGGATTACAGCGCCACCAGCACCTGTATGATTTACTTTCTAGTTTTTAAAAAATTATGTATTTTTACTTTTACTTTTTGGCCGGCTGTGGGGCTTGAACTCTGGTCTTGGGCGCTCTCCTTTAGCTCTTCAGCTCAAGGCTAGCATTCTACCACTTAAGCTACAGTGCCACTAATGGTTTTCTGGTGGTTTATTGGAGATAAGAGTTTCATGGACTTTCCTGCCCAGGCTGGCTTTGAACCGAGATCCTTAGATCTAAGCCTCCTGAGTAGCTAGGATTACAGCCGTGAGCCACCGGTGCTCAACTGATTTACTTTCTTCAGTTTTTTTTGTTGTTGTTGTTGGTTGTGGGTCTTGAACTCTGGGACTAGGCCCTATCCCTCAGCTCTTGGGCTCAAGGCAAGCACTCTACCAGTTGAGCCACAGAGACACTTCTGGTTTTCTGGTGGTTAATTGGAGATAAGAGTCTCATGGACTTTCTTGCCTGGGCTGGCTTTGAACCACGATCCTCAGATCTCAGCCTCCCGAATACATAGGATTATAGGCATGAGCCACCAGCGCCTGGCCTTCAGTGATAATTTTTTTTTTTTGGGTCCGGTCGTGGGGCCTGAACTCTGGGCCTGGGCGCTGTCCCTCAGCTCTTCAGCTCAAGGCTAGTGCTCTACCACTTGAGCCACAGTGCCACTTCCGGCTTTTTTTTCTTTTTGCTTATGTGGTGCTGAGGAATCGAACCCAGGGCCTCGAGCATGCAAGGCAAGCGCTCTACCACTGAGCCACCTTCCCAGCAGTGATAATTTTTAATCAGAATTTTTATAAGCTATATAAGGAAAGAAAATTATAAATGATTTCCACTTAAATGTGTGCAACTCAACGTTTCATAGCTTTCAGATTCAAATGGAAGCATTTGAGAGATAGGGATGAAACTCTGAAAGAACAGTTATCTAATAGCTGTGATTTTCAGCCCTGCATTTACAAAAAACCAGGTATGGTGGTACCTGCCTGTAATCCTAGCTAATCAGAGCAAGAAGGATTTAGAGTTCAAAGCCTGCCCAAGTAAAGGTATCTCAAAAGCAAAATGCAAACAAAGGGCTAGAGACGTGTTCAAGTGGTGGAGTGCTTGCCTAGAATATATGATTTTGAGTTTGATCGTTAGTACTGCAGAAAAAATAAAAGTTCCAAATACGGGAATATGCTGACATTTATAATTTTAAGCCCTAGTTTTTTTTTTTTTCCAGGCTTCTATTTTTGATATTCACACATGTATTATTCTCTGAACAAGATAAACTGCCATTTATTTATTTATTTTTTTGTTGGTCGTGGGTCCTGAACTCTGTGCCTGGGCGCTGTCCCTCAGCTCTTCAGCTCAAGGCTAGCGCTCTACCACTTGAGCCACAACGCCACTTCCGGCTTTTTTCTTTTTGCTTATGTGGTGCTGAGGAATCGAACTCAGGGCCTCATGCATGCAGAGCAAGCGCTCTACCACTGAGCCACCTTCCCAGCCCTGGAAACTCATTCTTATGTCTAACTTTTCATTAATTTTTTTTTCCAAACATACCAAAAATTATGTGGCAGAAAGAATCACACCTGTAATTCTAGCTACTCAGGAGGCTTAGATCTGAGGATCATCATTCAGTGCCAACCCGGTCAGGAACATCTGTGAGACTCCTATGTCCAATTAACCACCAGAAAATAGGAAGTGGTGCTATGGCAAAAATGCTCAGTGCTAGCTCCCAGGCCCTGAGTTCAAGCCCCATGACCAACCAAAGGGGAAAAAAAAAAGGTCTTACATTGAGTGCTCCTATATGCATCACCTAGGTTCCACAATTAATATTTTTCTATGGTTCCTTTATTAATCTATAGTTTTCCTTAATTCTTATTTGTCCTTCAAGACTCAGTTTTGATGCTGTTTCTCAGAAAATCATCACATAATTCTTTATTTGTGTCCATTCTGAATTGAGAAATCTGTAAGTCAGAAAATTTATTTTTGTATTATTATGTCTCAGATATATCATTGGTTTGTTTTTAGTTCATTAATTCAATGCATCTTTAATGATTTTGGAGACCCCATATTTCTAAGTAATCACTCTTTTTGGATCTCAAGTGATAGAGTGTTTATGTAACATGTGTAAGGCCCCAGTTTCAAAACCCAATACTATAAAAATAGAATTATTTTAGAATGATATGTGTGACAAGATCCATGTAATCAGCAAAAGTATAATTGTTAATATAATTGCCAACATATCTCTTATTTTTTCACCAGTCTTTTTTGTTACATGTTCTTTGTGCCAATATGCTTATTTTGTCTCCCATTCAAAATTATGTGAGGCCAAGGTTCCTTAGCACTTCAAAAAAATATTTGGAAAATCATATGTTCATTAAGTGCCATTAATGGGAATGTTAATCTAATGGGAACATTGGGATATTTGAAGAGAATTGTAATTCTGAATAAAACTTCTGCCTCTTACTCTGAAGACCTAATTCACATTGAGTGCATAAAGAATCCAACCATACTGTTCTCTCCTGTTAGGAATCCAATACTTTGAGAAATAGGAAAAGCTCTCGTCGAGTCAGCTTTGCAGATACTATAAAGTAAGTTGAAAGATTAAATATTAAAATGTTACACGAAATGCTTTTTTTCTTGTAAAATCATATATTTTGGTACTAGCTGGTATTAATAATTTGTTTTGATTAAGCAACATTAGAGCATTATTATTTAAATGGTTCTTATTAAGTTGTGTTTCAATAGAAGGATAATATTCCCACATTCATTCCCACTGTTATTTAACATCATATTGGAGATATTTATTTATTTATTTTTGATTGTGGGGCTTGAACTCAGAGCCTGGGCATTGTCCCTCAGATTTTTTGCTCAGTACTAGTGCTCTACCACTTTGAGCCACAGCACCACTTCTGTACTGCAGATTTTAATCAGCAAAACTAGCAAAAGAAATTAGAGATATAAAATTTGAAATAGGGGGTTAAACCTACTACCTTTTCCTATTAAATGTACCCCTGCTATTTTGGTTTGGTTTATTTTATTTTGTTTAGCAGTAGTAGGGTTTGAACTTAGGTACTCATGCTAGCTTTGTAAGGTACTGTACCACTTGAGCCATGCCTAAGCTTTCTTTTGCATTTTGGAGATGGAGTTTATAGAATTTTTCTGCTTGAGCTGGCCTCAGATTGCTGTCCTCTGGACCGTAGACTCCTGAGTAGCTAGGATTACAAACATGGAGCCTGCTTCTCCTTTCAGTTTTGTCTTCATTCTACAATTGCTATAATTTGTTTCTTCTGCTTTTTTTTTTTTTTTTTTTTGGTTCTGGGTCTTGAACTCTGGGCCTGGGCGCTGTCCCTCAGCTTTTCAGCTCAAGGCTAGCACTCTACCACTTGAGCCACAGCGCCACGTCCAGTTTTCTGGTGATTATCGAAGAGTCTCATGGACTTTCTTGCCCAAGATGGCTTTGAACTGTAATCCTCAGATCTCGCCTCCTGAGTAGCTAGGATTACAGGTGTAAGCCACCAGTGCCTGGCTTCTGCTTCTTTCATAAGTATTACCTATGTGTTTCATTTCCTGCTACCTTATCTCTTCCTTGAATTCTTGTGTTTGTCCATTGTGGGGCTTGGCTGCTGTCCCTGAGCTTTTTCACTGAAAGCTAGCACTCTACCACTTTGAGCCACAGCACCACTTCTGATAGTTAATTGATAAGAATCTCATGGACTTTCCTGTCTGGGCTGTCATTGAACCACAGTCCTCAGATTTCAGCCTCCTGAGTGGCTAGGATTACAGGTGTGAGCCACCAGCCACACAGCTGCTTTGTTTTCTTCATAGAGGTAATTGCTTTCTTTTTCTTATTCTTGTTTGTGTCTGCACTAGGGCTTGAACTCAGCCAGGGAGCTTTCACTTCGTTTTTGTTTTTGTTTTTCTAAAGGGAAGAGGATTTATTTTGACTAGTGGTTTGAGGTGGTGTTTGTCTGGACCTGTGTTGAGGCACAGCATCATGGCCAAAGGATGTAGTAGAACAGAGAGCTTACTAATGCCAACCAGGAAGCAGAGAGAGTAAGGACTGTACTTTTCCTTAATTTTTTTTGCACAAGGATGGTGCCAAACTACTTGAGCCACAGCTTCATTTCTGGCTTGTTAGTAATTAATTGTAAATAAGTCTCTTGAATTTATGTGACCAGGTTGGTTTTAAACTGCAATCTTCAGCTCTCAGCCTCCTGAGTTGCTAGGATTACAGGTATGAGTCACTGGTGCTTGGCCCAGTTTTTTCTGTTGAGGTTTGCCTATTATCTTTACCTAACTTAACCTGTCCAAAAGGAGTTTATGAATAAACACCAAAAGACTGTATTTAAAAATTCAAGATTTTCAACCATCTTTGTTTTCTTTTCTAGGGTATTCCAGACAGAGTGTCCTATGAAAACAGTGAGAAAGTCAGAAATTGCAGGTAAATATAATATTCCAGTTCTTGCTAATCTATTCTCAACCAGATAAATGATATGATATATTTATCTGTTTAATTATTATTTTTATTTTTTACCAGTCCTGGGGCTTGAACTCAGGGCCTTGATACTGTCCTGAGCTTCTTTTGCTCAAAGCTAGCAGTCTACCACTTGAGCCACACGGCCACTGGTATTGAGGAATTGAACCCAGGGCTTCATGCATGCTAGACAAGCCTTCTACCATTAAGCCATATTCCCAGCCCCTTAACGTTTGTTTGTTTGTTTTTGCTAGTCCTGGGGCTTGAACTCAGGGCCTGGACACTGCCTCAGAGCATCTCAAGGCGAGCGTACTACCACTTGAGACACAGTGCCATTTCCGGCCTTTTCTGTTTATGTGGTACTGAGGAATCGAACCCAGGGCTTCATGCATGCTAGGCAAACACTCTACTACTAAGCCACATTCCCAGCCCCCTTACTGTTTATAAAGTATACCCTGAGCCAGGTGCCATGGCTCAAGCCTGTTATCCTAGCAGCTTGGGAAACAGAGACTGGAGGAAAATAATGTTCAAGGCCAGCCCTATTAAATAAGTTCTTGAGACTCCATTTCAATTAATAGTTGGCTATGATGGTACCTACTGTCAGCTCATTGACATGGTCAACCACAAATAGCAGGATCACTGTCCAGGCTACTCTGGGCATACAGTAAGTTCCTATCTTGAAAATAACCAACAGGAAACATGCTAACAGAGTGGCTCAAGTAGTAGAGCACCTTCTTAGGAAGCAGAAACCCCTGAGTTCAATCTAGTCATAGTTACTTGAGGGGCTGAGGCAGGAGGTCTCATATTCAAGGCCAGCCTTGGCACCATAGTAAGAACCTATCACCTCCCTCCCCCCCAAAAAAGAAATTATACCTTGAGTCTTGAGTCACTTCCTTTTTTACCTTGTTATTAATAGTCCTTATGTAATTTTTCTACTATTTTTCAGTGTGTCCTGTAACAACTTTTCTTTATTTTTAGATACAGAAGCAGGAGAAAATGTTCCACCTATACAGTAAGTAAGGAACATAATTCAAATTATATTTGAAATGTTATTTATTTCACAAGGGTCTTTTTTTGGGGGGGGTCCGGTTGTGGGGCCTGAACTCTGGGCCTGGGCACTGTCCTTCAGCTCTTTAGCTCAAGACTAGTGCTCTACCACTTGAGCCACAGTGCCACTTCTGGCTTTTTTCTTTTTGCTTATGTGGTGCTGAGGAATCGAACCCAGTGCCTCAGGCATGCAAGGCAAGCGCTCTACCACTGAGCCACCTTCCCAGCCCCTGAAATGTTATTTATTTCAAGCTGAGGTCATAGCTTAAGTGGTGCTTGCCTAGTATAGTTCCCAGTAACTCTCCCCCCTCAAAAAAAAAAAGGTTATTCCTGTTAATTTTTCTTTTCTTTTTTTTTTTTTGGTCAGTCCTCGGGCTTGAAGTCCGGGCCTTGGCTCTATTCCTGAGCTTTTTTACTCAAGGATAGCACTCCACCACTTGCACCATAGCTCTATTTCTGGCTTTTTAGTAGTTAATTTGATGTAAGAGTCTCACTGGCTTTATTGCCCAGGCTGGCTTTGAACCATGATCCTCACATCTCAGCCTCTTGAGTAACTAGGATTACAGGCAGGAACCACTGGTGCCTGGCTTAAATTCTTAAAATCATGTATTAATATGAAGCAGTAAATAGCACATTTTTTTCATATAATCAGTTGCTTTTATAGTACTGATATAATTTGAATATTTTAGGTAAATGCTTGGGACAAGAAGTGTTTTAGATTTTTGTGGTTTTTCAGATTCTGAAATATTTGTATATACATAACTGGTTGAGCATCCCTAATCTAGAACATCCAAAATGCTCCAAAATGTAAGGCTTTCTGAGTACCACTCCAAAAGCTCCAGATTTCAAGTGGGGGATACTGACCAACTGTGTAGAAAAGTAATTAACTTTTAACAAGTGAGAAGATGTTTATCATTCTTAAGGTAAAGCCTTTTTTTAAAGGAGTCTATAATTTTACTAATCATTCTATAAAATCTTTTATCTTCCCTAGTCTAAATTTTTGTGATTCATGGTAATTGTTTGGAATATTGATTATGAAAATACCTTTTAATTTTTAGGAATACAAATTCAGATGACAAATATTGTGAGATTACTGGTGAGTACAATCAGAATACTTATAGATTTCTTGATAAATATAATGAGTAGAAACCATGCAAAAATAAAGAGCTTGGTTTTAGCTCTGTGGAGGAGCACTTACCCGACGAGTACAAGGCCCTAAATTCCATCCTCAACTCTGGAAAAAATAAAGAAAATAAAGAACTTTCTTTTTCTTTTTTTCATTTATGTATTTTTGTGTCGGTCATGGATCTTGAACTTTGGGCCTGGGCTCTGTCCTTGAGCTTCAGCTCAAGGTAAGCACTCTACCACTTGAGCCACAATGCCACTTCCGGCTTTTTTCTGTTTATGTGGTGCTGAGGAATCGAACTCAGGGCCTAATGCATGTGAAGCAAGCACTCTTAACACTGAGCCACCTTCCCAGCCCCAAGAGCTTCTTTCTTTTTTTTTTTTTTTTTGGTCTGTCGTGGGCCTTGAACTCTGGGCCTAGGCGTTGTCCCTGTGCTCTTCAGCTCAAGGCGAGAGCTTTACCGCTTGAGCCACAGCGCCACTTCCAGTTTTCTAGTGGTTTATTGGAGATAAGAGTCTCATAGACTTTCCTGCCAGGGCTGGCTTTAAACCGTGGTCCTCATATCTCAGCCTCCTGAGTAGCTAGGGTTACAGGCGTGAGCCACCGGCGCCCGGCTAAGAGCTTCTTTCTTTATACATGTTTTTTATTTAAAATTTCATGGATATACTGTTTTCTCTATAACATACTGTCCTTTTTGTTTTTTTCTATCATATACTCTTACTTTTTCAGTTATTTATTCACCTTAGGAATTAAGAATCATTTTGAAAGCCAGGTGATAGCGGCTTACGCCTGTAATCCTAGCTACTCAGGAGGCTGAGCTCTGAGGGATGTAGTTCGAAGACAGCCTTGGCAAAAAAAAGTCTATGAGACTCTCTCTTTTTTTTTGGTTGGTCATGGGGCCTGAACTCTGGGCATCGACACTGTCCCTCAGCTCTTCAGCTTAAGGCTAGTACTCTTACCACTTGAGCCACAGCGCCACTTCTGGCTTTTTCTGCTTATGTGGTACCGAGGAAGCAAACCCAGGGCCTCGTACATGCAAGGCAAGCACTCTACCACTGAGCCACCTTTCTAGCCCTTCTGTGAGACTCTTATCTCTAATAAACTACTCAGAAAAAGCAGGAAGTGGTGCTATGGCTTAAGTAGTAGATCGCTAGCTTTGAGCAAAAGAAGATTAGGGACAGTGCCTTGGCCCTTAGTTCAAGATCCAGTCAAAAAAAAAAAAAAAGAACTATTTTGAACTTTTCCTTCATTCCCATACCCGTTCACCCTTATTTTCTCTCTGTTGTAGTCTAAATATCTTGTAAATCTGTTACTTGATCTCTTATTACTTCTACTACTTTAAGCTTAAGTCCTTACTATTTTAACTTAGGGTTTTTTAAATGTATATATTATATTTAATTTTTATCCTTCTAGTTCATTTAATGGACTAACTTCCTTCTTTCCTTCCTTCCTTCCTTTTTTTTTTTGGTTGGTACTAGGGCTTGATCTCTGAGCCTGGGTACTATCCCTGAGCTCTTCAGCTCAAGGCTAGCCCTCTACCATTCTGAGCCACAGCGCCACTTTGGTTTTCTGGTGGTTAATTGGAGATAAGAGTCTCACAGACTTTTTTGCTTGGGCTGGCTTTGAATGACAATCCTCAGATCTCAGCCTCCTGAGGAGCTGGGATTATTGGTGTGAGCGACAAGTGCACGGCCATTTAATGTATTTTCTTACTACATTTTTTTTTCTCAGTAGGTATGAACACATTGCTTTGTGCTCCCATTCAGACTCAAATGCAACAAAGAGAGGTATGATTTCATGCGAGTATCTTTATATTTTTATTTTTCTCCATAGTCAAAAAATACAAGTTCATGATCCTAGCTTGATTTAGGGACATGGACCAAAATTAAATGGTGTAGAGTAGGGAAACTTCCTACCTAAGCATAAGGCACTGCCAATGTAAATATAGGGAGGTATGTTACATTAGAACTCACGAATGTTAATGACCATGAATGGGAATCATTTCAGAATTTCATTATAGATTTGTGAGCTATGATTGTAGCTCTTGCCTATCATGCATAAAGACCTGAATTAGATCTCAAGCACTGCCAAAAAAAAAAAAGCTCCATGAAACAAAACAAAACCCTGGCTGGAAAGAGACTTAGTGGTAGAGTGCTTGTCTAACATGCATGAAGGCTTGGATTCGATTCCTCAGTACCAAATAAACAGAAAAGGCTAGAAGTGGCACTGTGGCTCAAATGGTAGAGTGCTAGCTTGGAGCAAAAGAAGCTCAGGGACAGTTCCTTAGTTCAAGCCCCATGACTGGCAAAAGCAAAACAAAACAAACAAAACCCAAACCCAACAGCAACAAAAAAACATACACAGTCCGGTATTGGTGGTTCATGCCTATAATCCTAGCTACTCAAGAGGCTGAGATCTGAAGATCATGGTTCAAAACGAGCCTGGGCAGGAAAGTCCATGAAACTCATATCCACTTAGCCATTGGAAAACCAGAAGTGGAGCTATGGCTTAATGTGATAGAGTGCTAGCTCTGAGTGAAAAATCTCAGGGACACTGCCCAGACCCTGAGTTCAAGCCCCATGACAGACAAAAAAACCAACCCCCCCCAAAAGAAAAACATATACAAACATCTTATTTTGAATAGGAATTAGACCATTTCTTTAAATAAAACTACTGTGGTACAGATAGCACAGAGTCTATTATTAATTAACCATCAAGCTGGGCGCTGGTGGCTCAGGCCTGTAATCCCAGCTACTCAGGAGGCTGAGATCTGAAGATCATGGTTCAAAGCCAGCCCGGGCAGGAAAGTCCATGAAACTCATCTCCCGTAAACCACTAGAAAACTGGAAGTCGCGCTGTGGCTCAAGTAGTAGAGTGCTAGCCTTGAGCTGAAGAGCTGAGGGACAGTGCCCAGGCCCAGAATTCAAGCCTCAAGACTGACTAAATAAATAAATAAGCCATGAGGAACCAATGCCTTTCCAAGATGTTTATTTAGGATGAGAAGGACCTATCCAATATAGAATTTTCATTATGGTTACATTGTATATCAGATTTTTTTTTCCAGGTCTGGAGTAGTTAGGATTATAGATATGATCCACCAATTCCTAGTGTTAAGATACTAAAAAGTAAATTATTTAGACTTTAGATTTTATTTTTTCTATTTTTTGATACTGGAGGTTGGGCTCAGGGCCTTGTACTTGCTAGGCAGATACTACCTGAGCCACTCTGCCAGGCTTTTTGCATTGATTATCTTTCTGTGTGTCTATGTTAGCTTATTGTTTGATTATTTTTGAGATAGGATTTCACTTTATTCATGAAATGGTAATCCCTCTATACAATTCTTAATAACAAACAATTTATATTAAACAACAAAAAAATCATTTTTGTTAACTCAGTCAAAATTGGAAAATACGATTTTACAAAAAATTACATAGAAGATACTTGTACTTCATATTTTAACTTTTTGCTATTGATCAAAGGAAAAAAATGTTCTTGCCAGGTCCTGGTGGCTCATGCCTGTAATCCTAAGCTACTAAGAAAAAGGTAGAGATATAAGGATCGCAGTTCAAAGCCAGCCCAGGCAGGAAAGTTCATGGGACTGGTATCTCCAATTCCCCACCAGAACCGGAAGTAGAGCTGTGGCTCAAAGTGGTAGAGTATTAGCCTTGAACAAAGGGACAGTGCCAAGGCCCTGAGTTCAAGCCCTATGGCCAACATCAACAACAAAAAAGAAAGACATATCTTGGTTTATTACCAATTAAAACCTTTTGTTATTATGAGGGAAATGTGTAGAGAGTTTACAGTTATATAATACTATATAATATATATATATGTTTTTTTAATTTATTTTTGATTGTACTGAGGCTTGAACTCAGTACTGGACACTGTCCCTGAGCCTCTTGGTGCTCAAGGCTAGTGCTCTACCACTTGAGCCACAGTGCCACTTCTGGCTTTTTCTGAGTAGTTTATTGTAGATAAGAGTCTCACAGACTTCCCTGCCCAGGCTGGCCTAAAACCATGATCCTCAGATTTTAGCCTCCTGAGTAGCTTGGATTATAGTCTTGAACCACCAGGGCCCAGTGTCAAATTTTTGATTAAAGAAACAATAGTTATCTCTGAGATGTGGTAATAACTATTTTCTCTTCTTTGGAAAATTTTATTTTTTTTTCCATACAAGAATTTACATTAGGGAAGTGGTGCTGTGGCTCATGTGGTAGAGCATTAGCCTTGAGCTGAAGAGCTGAGGGACAGCGCCCAGGCCCAGAGTTCAAGCCCCACGACCGACCAAAAAAAAATAATTACATTCAGTGTGATCTCTTATGTTTCCTTTCATTATAGTTTTCAATTATAGAGCCCAACCATGACAACAAACATGGAAATGACCAGACAATCATCTTTTCCAATGAAAATCAGATGGATTTGACAGCAAGTCACACTGTGATGATAACCAAAGGCCTTTTAGATTGTACCAAAAGTCAAAATTCTACCAAGATAGATACTGCATCCTTCCTGGCTAACATAAAGTGTCACAATGCGAATTTGAGAATGAAAAAAGAATTAAAAATTCCCATGGATCAACACCCCACTCCAGAAAAAAAAATAAATTGCAATGATTTGATACAAAGATTGAAAACACGAAAATCCAGTGCTTATCTTACAGACCCTGATAAAGAAAACTTTGAAATACCTATTTATTCCAAACAACCAAGTAGTGCCTCTTCTACACATCAAATGCAAGCATCTCTCCATGTAAATGAGAATAGTAGTAATATTACTAGAATCTTCAGAGAACAAGACGATGGGATGAATTTCACCCAATGCCTTACAACCGATATTCATATTCCCCCATCTGGTGAGGACAACTTAGTGGAATTCAAGGGTGATATTACAACTTATGACAATGACTGTATGGACTTGACAGCTAACCATACCCTGCAGGTTTTATCTTTAGCAAATAATTTATCCAAGACGGAAAATCAAACTTATAAGATCTCCAAGGATGTTGAAGCAGTTGGTGGAACTGAAGCTCCAGAAAAGACAACAGTCTCTAAAAGTAAACAAAATGCTGGTTTACAAGATCCTTTCTTAAACCCTGAACATAAAACACATTGTAGTCACATTATAGATTCAGAAACTCCCACAGTCACAGGGACTTCTAATCAAGATGCCAGAGCAACAGCTGGTAACTCAGAATCTGTGTGTTTTAGTCCAGCTGCTCACGGTTATAAGACCTTATTTTATTCTAGTTGTGATGATGCCATGGACTTGACCAAGTGTCTCTCAAGTATGAGAGAGGAGAAAAGTTTGCTGAAACCTGATGGTAATTTTTCTAAAGGACATTCCAATCCTGATTCCAGCCCTGTTCTTACTGAGAAAACGTTTTATTCAGGAGAGGATAGTATGGACATTACCAAGAGTCACACAGTTGCAATAGATAACCAGCTTTTTAAGCAAGATCAGACAGATGTGCCAATTGTATCTGCACCACTATCTGAAGAAGCAATGATTCTCCAAAATCATGTAACTGTGGCAGAAGGTGGGGGAAGGAATGTAAATTGTCATTCACTTCCTCAAGTGTCCAGGGCAAGATTACAACAGAGCCTGACAAATTCTCTCTCTCTTCACTCGACTGACAAAAAGACTTTCCTCTTAGAAGATGAAGATATGGATTTGACTCAAAGTCACACAAGTAACTTAAGTCAGGCTCCTCTTGCACCTTACATTCTAGCATCAGAGAATATCACTAAATCTTATTCTTGTAGCAAAAGTCCTCCAGATAAATGGGGGAAAATGTTAAAAAATCATATCAAACCATCCCAACAACCAAAACTGATACCTGAAAATATTTTAACTGATACTCAGGGGAAAGAAAAACATCAGATTTTGAAGGTTTCACCTTATCTTGATAATAATGTAGCCTACTCTGATATAGGTCTTGATAAACAAGTAGCACTAAGAAATAATGGAAATACAGTTTCAAGGGAGCCATCTTTATTTTCTACCAGAAAATCATTCTTGTCATCTGATTGTCCATCAGGACAATCTGCCTTGAAAAATAATACTGATGTGAATAGTCATATAGCAAAGTCTGTACCAGGCCAGGGTTCTAAAGTACCTGAGTCACTGAGGAGAGATTTAGATGACCCCGCACAGGTCTCTTCTCATGACCAGGTGATTATTTGTTCAGAGGAGGAGCAAACTATGGATCTAACCAAGAGCCATGCTGTTATCATTAAATTTGGTCCTTCCGAAGTACAAGACCGTAATAAGAATAATTTAGAACAGAGCACCATCCAAGTCAAAACAGTAAACAGACCAATAGCTGTAAAAGGAGAAAACTGTGGTAAAAGTCCTATGGAAAAAACTGGGGAATTTGTACCTAATAATGTCTTTGGTGTATTAGAGGACAAAAGTATACAGAAACCTGAATTTCTGATGGAAAAGCAAAATGCCAAAGTTTGTGGAAGGAAAAGTGTTAGTGGACTAAAAATTGATAAGACTGTTATATTTTCAGATGGTGATGAAAATGATATGGAGATCACCAAGAGTTGTACAGTAGATATAAACCATAGGTCTTTATTAGACAAAGGTGATGCCAATCAGATGCCTGTGGAAGGAACTTCTAAAACTATTTTGTATGCTTGTGAGCAGGGTGAAATGGAAATCACTACAAGTCACACTGTTGCCTTAGAATGTGAAAGGGCCTCATCAAATGAAAGAATTATTAGACCTGTGGAAAAGACTACAATGTTTGTAGATAACCACGATGAGCTAGAAATGACAAAGTCCCACACTGTCTTCATTAACTACCATGCAGAGAAAACTTTACCTCCACACAGACCTAAGTTTGAACTACCCAAAAGGAAAAGTCTGAGAACTGCAGAAGTGACATCTCTTGCTAAAGAGAATGCTTTATGTTCAGAAAATGGTGACAGCAACCATCCAGCATCAAAAGGTAGGCAGGTAACTGTCCCAGAGGAGTGCTCTAGTTACCATCCTAGAGGGGAATGTGAGACATTAATAGCTGATAATAACATGCAAGTGTCTAAATTAACCAGTTGGAAAAATGTGAAAGATGTACAAAAGCCTGGATTTCCAAATGAACTTCTGTCAGGCAAAACTCAGAGAAGAAAAAGCCTGAGGTTACAAAATGACAAGACCATTGCCTTTTCAGAGAATGATAAAAATGATATGGATATCACCCGGAGTTCTAGGGTAGAAATAAATGACAAAGGTACCTTGGAAGATAGAGAGGACTCTAACTGGATGCCTTTGACAGGAGCTTCTAAAACTGTTTTATATGCATGTGGGCAAGATGACATGGAGATAACTAGAAGTCACACCACTGCCTCTGAATGCCAAACTCTCCCACCAGAAGAAGTAACTGCTAAGCCAGTGGACAAAACAATAATGTTTGTAGATAATCACAATGATCTGAAAGTTACCAAGTCCCATGCTGTTTTCATTGACTGTCAAGCCACGGAGAAAACGCTTCCAGAATACCCTACATTTGGAATAGCAAGAGAAGGAAACAGTACTGAGGATAATAGCTGCATTCAAGAAATCACTAAAAAACAAGCACTGTCTGTAGGAAGTGAAATTGTTTTTCACTCTGCACAAAAGCATCAGATGACAACCCTTATTCCTCCTAATACATTGTGTAGGGATCAAAGTAAAATGGAATTGATCAAGTTCCATAGAACTGATACAAATGAGGTGGTCATGGGGAAAGTTGCAGACCAGGCCTACATAGTGAAAGGAGCCCAAGCTGAAAGCTGCCATATAGATAGTACAGATAGAAAAAATGTGGATTTTACGAGCAGTCATGGAGCTGTTATTTGTGGATCCAGTGATAATTGGAAACAAAGTCTGAAAAATTTGCATGGGAAAACGGAAGGAGTTTCAGATCTCCAAACTGTTCAGTTGCCACCTACTCCAGAACAAGTACTTGAATTAGGAACTACAGGGTTCAATAATAAGAGTGTACTGCAAACTAAGGAAATAAATAACATTGTCTCCAATGATGCTAATGATAATAAAGATGAAGAAAACAAGAACTCTCATAGTGGATCTGAAAGTATGTCTATACCATTAAGTACAGCTGGTAGAGATAAAATGAGGAGATATTCTTTGGGAATCTTTTTGCCCAGATTGCCAAACAAGAGAAATTGTAGTGTCATGGGTATTGATGAGACTGAGCAGATTCCAGCAGATTCAACTGATTTAAATCACTTAGAAATTCTTCCAGTCTCTAACAAGGATTTAGGCACAGGATCTGTTGTACCTAAAATGAACTTAAGTCCATCTCAGTATATAAATGAGGAAAATCTCCCTGGTGAGATTAATTCCTCAGGCTCTATTAGCACAGAAATTGAAGAAAATATTTTGATTGAAACTGACCAAAAAGCAACTTTACCATCTGACAACAAAATGGAGGAAACCTGTATTAGCCACAAAAGAACATGGGTACAAGAAGGAGATGCTGTTTCAACTGAGAAAAAAATCAGAAAACATGACTTTCAGCTTGGTGATACTATTCAGGGCCATGAGGTAAGCTACTACTTATTCACTTTTTTTTTTTTTTTTTTGTGGAGACTGGGGTTTGATTGGCTCATGCTCATGACTGAGCCATACTTCCAACCCCAAATTGCACTGTCTTGAGGAAGGAATGTTTTTCAGGGGTTGTTTTTGCCAGTCCTAGGGCTTGAACCCTGGGCCTGGGCACTGTTCTTGAGCTTCTTTTGCTTAAGGCTAGCACTCTACTCCTTGGGAGCCACAGTGCTACTTCTGGCTTTTTCTGTGTATGTGGTGGTGAGGACTCAAACCCAGGCCTTCGTTCAGGCGAGGCAAGCCCTCTAGCACTAAGCCACATTTCCAGCCCTGTTTTTCAGGTTTGATTTTTTTTTTTTCCTTGTGGCAATACTGGGGCTTGTACTCTTTTCTTTATGTTTGACCCTCTATCACTTGAACCATGGCTCCATTGTCAGCTTTTTATTGGTTAATTGGAGATGGGGGGAGGGGTCTCATTTCTACCCAGGCTTGGCTCTGAATTTTTTTTTTTCTTTTTTTTGGTCGGTCGTGGGGCTTGAATTCTGGGCCTGGGCGCTGTCCCTTAGGTCTTCAGCTCAAGGCTAGCGCTTTACCACTTGAGCTACAGTGCCACTTCCCGTTTTCTGGTGGTTTATTGGAGATAAGAGTTTCATGGACTTTCCTGCCTGGGCTGGCTATGAACCACGATCTTCAGATCTCAGCCACCTGAGTAGCTAGGATTACAGTCATGAGCCACTGGTACCTAGCTTATGACATTTATTCACTGGCAAATTGGAGCATGGTTTTGCTTCTTTCCTGACCTGTGATACTGTTCATAGTGACAGGAATGTTCTTTCCTGTTGGCAGCTGAGACATTAGACCCAGAGCGAGACAACCCCCCCAGGCACCTCAAGTGAATGAGAGAATAGAGAGGGCACTCTTGGGCACATCCTGTCCTGGACCCTCTGCAATATCAACATAGATAAATTGTATGTTTGAAGTAGTGGGTTTTTTTTTGAGTGTTAACATTAGCCATCACGAATACATAGTATCATAACTTGATTCTAACAATGTTTCTTTATCAATAATTTCACAGATTTTTGACCCCGATACTGAAGAGGACATAGATAAACATGTTAACAGTGTATTGGCAAAAAGCCCAAGCAGGACCCCATCTAGCTGCAGCAGCTCTCTGGATTCAGTCAAGGCTGATGGGACCTCTCTGGACTTCAGCAGTAAGATTTTTATGAAGTCTAAATAATAGCAGTTATCTGAATCCTTGACTAATAATAAATGCAGTTCAGTTTAGGAAATATCCAAGTGTTTTATCAGCCTAACCTATAGTCATCTTAATGAATTGAGAAGTATTTTACTATAGAAAAATGGAATGTTTTGCTTCAGAAACTTGTAATCAGTGGAAAAACACTGAACGATGTACTAAAACTGTAGTAAATTTACCTTGCTAAATGGGCGTCTTCCTGAAACATCATAAACAACACACAAATCTGAAAGATAAGTTAAATCAAGCAAACAATTGGGTTTTGACCTGATTTTCACATGAATTTGCTTTACTTTTAGCAAACCGCAATAGTCAAATGGAATCACAATTTCTCAGTGACACTATTTGTGAAGAGAACTTGAGGGAGGTACGTTAAAAGTATTCATCACTTTTAATACTTTTTCTTGGTTGTTATTTATTGGTGGCAAAGTGTTAAGGAAAACGATGGGCTCCAGCTGGATGGCTCAAAGAGCAAGGTTAAAGAAGAGGGAACCACCTGGTCCCCATTTAATTTAAAAAGCATATATAAAGTATTTTATATGCAGAAGAATAATTTTCTTTATTAAGGATTCAGCATAGCAGTTTTTTTCCCCCCTGGTCCTGGAGCTTGAACTCTGTACCTGGGCACTGTCGGGGGCTCCTTTTTCTCAAGGCTAGCACTTTACCGCTTGAGCCCCAGCACCACTTCTGTTTTTTTCTGCGATTAATTGGAGATAAGAGTCTCTTGGACTTTCCTGCACAGGCTGGCTTTGGGCTGTGAGCCTCAGATCTCAACCTCCTGAGTAACTAGGATTACAGGGGTGAGCCACTGCCACCTGGCATAGCAATTGTTCTATGAAGTAGTATCTGTCTGTTTTCTGTGGCTATACTTGAATATCATAAACTGTGATTCATAAAGAATGGAGATTTATTTAGCTTATGGTTCTGGAGGCTAGGAAGAGCATAGCACTGGAGTAAGCTCAGTATCAATTGAGAGCTTTCTTGCTGGTGAGGACCCATGGCTTCACACAGCAAGACAGAGCAGCCTTGCTAACCTCCATCTCTTATGCAACCACTAGTGCAGTCATGTGGACCCCAGCCTCATAACTTCTTCTAATCCTAGTTATCACCCAAAAGGCTCTTCCTCTAAATGACTTCCAAGATTAAGATTCAGCATGAGTCTTGGATGAAACAAATAGCCATACCATAGCAAGTAGAAATGAATATTAAAAGACATAGACTTTATTATTGAAAAACCTTAAAAACTAATCTTAGAGGTTGTCATGGTATCACATAGAGTTCAGGGCCAGTCTGGGCTACATAAGGAGGGCCCTGTCTCAATTAAGATAATATTAATAATCTTGGATAAAATCTGCTCATGTGTGGTTTACTAATTCTTGAATAGTTGCATAAATATGCACAAGTTTTAGAAACATGAGGGTTATACTCAAAATGCACTTAGCTTGAATGAATCAATAAATGCCTTTTGTTTTCTTTTCTTAGAAACTCAAAGATGGGAGCATTACAATAAGAGAGTTCTTCATACTTCTTCAGGTCCACATTGTGATACAGAAGCCCCGGCAGAGCAATCTCCCAGCCAAAGTAAAAGCAGCTTCTTGGCAAAATAGTTATCCTAGTTAAAATGTATTATACTTTGCTAAACTACATGAAAACAAGTATTTACTGAAAAGTAAAACAAGAAAAAAGTAAAAACAAAAGAATCAGCTAGGCACTGGTGGCTCATGCCTGTAATCCTAGGTATTCATGAGGCTGGGGTCTGAGGATTGCAGTTCCAAGCCGGTCCAGGCAGCTGTGTGAGACTCCAATTAAACCAAAAGCTGAAGTAGAGATGGGGCTCAGGTGGTAGAGTGCTAGCCTTGAGCAAAATAGTTCAGGGACAGCGCCCAGGCCTGAGTTCAAGCCCCAGGAAATGCGTTAGAAAAAAAGGTAAAAGAAAAAAAGTTAAAGGAAGTCATTTCCCCTTTAGAACATTTTTCTTGTTTTTTTTTTTGGGGTCCGGTCGTGGGGCCTGAACTCTGGGCCTGTGCACTGTCCCTCAGTTCTTCAGCTCAAGGCTAGTGCTCTACCACTTGAGCCACAGCACCAATTCTGGCTTTTTTCTTTTTGCTTATGTGGTGCTGAGGAATCGAACCCAGGGCCTCAGGCATGCAAGGCAAGC